AGGAAGGGGCGGGGAGAAGGGGGGGCCTGGCTCCGCCCAGCACTCGGGTCAGTGACTAGCGGCCATGTTAGCTTCCCCGGAGGCGGGGGTGCTGGTGTAGGGGGTGTGTGTGTGGGTCCTGACCTGGGGGTGCGGGATGGGGTTGTTGCAGGGGGTAGGTTGGGGGTGTTGGGCCGTTGAGGACACTGGTCTGTTTGTAGGCATCCATCTGGGTCTGCAGGGACTGCTGGTCAGAAGGCACTGGTCCTACAGGTCCAGGCCTGAGGGGGGCATCCTGGCGTTCTGCAGGGTTGGGGCAGTGGGAGGCACTGGTCCACATGTCAGGTCTGCAGGAGTGCTGGTCTGCTGTTGGACAGCATTGGTCTGCAGGGCATGGGACTATGGGGTTCAGGTCTGCTGGGTATGGGGTTCAAGTCTGTAGGGTATGGGGCTCAGGTCTGCAGGGCATGGGACTGTGGGGTTCAGGTCTGCTGGGTATGGGGTTCAAGTCTGTAGGGTATGGGGCTCAGGTCTGCAGGGTATGGGACTATGGGGTTCAGGTCTGCCGGGTATGGGGTTCACGTCTGTAGGGTATGGGGCTCAGGTCTGCAGGGTATGGGACTATGGGGTTCAGGTCTGCAGGGGTCCAGGTCTGCTGGGGTAGCAGCAGGTCCACAGGGACTTGGGGTACCCAGGGCAGGTGAGGCTGGGGGATTGACCTTCCCACCTGCAGAGCTTGGTCTGGTAGCAGAGGTACCAGAAGGGTCCAGAAACCAGCCCACAATGGAGAAACTTTAAAATTGTTTCCTGAGTGAAAACCACCCAGAAGAACCACTGCCCAGGTGTGAGGAAGGATTGGAACTCAGTGCTGTGGGGGTGGGAGAGACTCAAGACTGCTCTGTCTGCTGGGAAAAGTCCCACTGAGCCCTAGTCACCTCCTTTGCAGTGGAGTCAGGTGGGCCTGGGGTTCCCAGTCAACTCCCACTGACTTTCTGTCCCCTCATTTCCCAGGATCCAGAAGGAGCTGGCAGACATCACTTTAGACCCTCCACCCAACTGCAGGTGAGCTGCCTTCCCATGGTTTCTGTTTAAATTCTCTAACCTCTGTCTTTGCATTTTCTTTCATTGTATAGAATTTTGTTTCTCTCATGCTGTTTGTGCTCGTTTGGGTGTTAACATCAAATACCCACAGAAATGTATTGTTGCGTGCTGGTGCCGGCCTGCTGCCGGACCCTCGGTTCTCTCCTTAGCCTTTATGTCGTTCTGGGGATTGAACTCACGTTGTCCACAGAGCCATCCTAAGGGCTTGGTGAACTTTTGCCAAACTCAGAATTATTGAAGGGAAGTAATGGATTTATGCAGATTGGACAGTTTTCTTTGTATGAAGCCAAACTTCAAAGTTAATTGAAAGGTGTACCCTTGCCTAATGGACCTTTGTGCTGGTTAAAGCCGAGATTTATGCACTCAGGTACGTTTTGGTTTGCTGCAGTAATCTTATTCCAGCTTTCCTAATTCCAAGATGATACAGAGCTTGAAATTAAATCAAATTCTGGATCCTCAAATTCACTCCTTTGTATAGAACTTTGGCCAAGCAGTTTAGGAAATAACTTGTAGCTTAACAGAAGGGTTTTGTTTTTAAACCATAGACTCATGTTTTGTTGGTGGTGCCATTGCTTAATCCAGAGTGGATCTGTGTGCTTCAGTTTGAAACCAGCTTCAGTGGGTGTTGGTCATCTAGCTTTCTTTAGCGTTGCCTTTTGCTCCTGTTCAGTCTGGGCAGAAAGTAAGCTTGCAGGCTTGCTAGGCGACATGAAGTGAGAGTCTTGTAGCTGTGGTAGAGCCACTCTGGCATGTAGCTTCTGGAGACTAAAGACTGACCTGGCCCATCTGGGTTCCCAGCTCGGCCATGGAGGGAACGGGAGGTTTCATTAGTGTGCTAAGCTGCTAGGTAGGCGTTACCAGCAGTGTTCAGTGGCCATGGGTGGAATTTAACATGAGTCTGTGCAAGCTTTCATGATGGACAGTAGGTGAAATGGGTTGCTTATTTATACTGATCTTTTAAATGTGTGATTGGTGGGTTGAACACAAATTTTAGTGTTGCTGCTTTGTTTGCGTGTGTGTGTGTGTGTGTGTGTGTGTGTGTGTGTCTGTGTGTGTCTGTGTGTGTCTGTGTTAGAGGTCAGAGTACAATTTGGTGGAGTTTATTCTTTTACCTTTTACGTAGGTTCTGGGGATCCAACTCAGGTCACCAGGCTTGAGATGCAAGCCTCCCTGCCTGCTGAGCCATCTCGCCCACCCCGGTGTTTCCTTCGTGTATAAATTTGTTCTTAATGTTGATTAGGTTTGTAATGTTCTTTTAAATTTTGTCCTGATTTGTGAGGAAAGCTCATTTTGAGTGTTGGGTGTTTTCTCCCTCCCTCCCTCCCTCCCTCCTTCCCTCCCTCCCTCTCTCCCTTCCTTTTTTTTCCTGAGACAGAATCTCATGTAGCTCAGGCTGGAGCTTGCTGTGTACCTCAGGATAACTTTGAACGTCTGATCCTCCTGCCTCCAGCTCTGCCCCAGTGCTGAGATTACAAGTGTGAGCCACTATGCCAGGTTTATACCATGCCAAACCCAGGGCTTCATTCATGCTAGAGAAGCACTCTACCAACTGAGCCCCAGCTCTTAAACTATCTGTAACTGCGCCACCTAATGTTGTTGAGGGTGTCTTCGTGGCTCATGATCTCTCCCATGGTTGAGAAGGTAGAGATGGGAAGGGTGGTTCAGACGGAGGCCTGCCGAGTCCTCAGTTGTTTGTGTGGAACGGTGGACATTCCCCACAGTAGGTCTGTGCTGTAAGCTGCCGCTGCTGGTGCCTTGGCTCTCCTGTGTGTGTCCCTGGTGAGTTCACACGGCTCTGATTGCTCAGATTATAAAGCACAGCTTCAAAATGAGCATCGTTTATCCAAACATGCAATGGCTTCCTTGTGAATAACAGGTACTATCAAGTTTGAAATTGTAAACCATTTGAGGATTTCTTTGTTTTTATTTTATGTGTATCAGTGTTTTGCCTGAATGTGTGCCTATGTCATGCAATGCCCAAGGAGGCCAGAAGAGGGCATCAGATCCCAAAAACTGAAGTTAATGGACAGTGTTAGCTGCCATGTGGGTGCTGGGAATTGAACCCAGGTCTTCTGCAAGAGCAACCAGTGCTCTTAACTGGGGAGCCATCTCTCCAGCCCCTACAGTTTGAAGATTTTCATAAGACGAATCATTTTTAGAGGCAGCATAGGTACTCTTGAGTTTCATGTCTTGTGGCTGAGTTCATCTATAATAGACTGTGTTTCGTAAGCTTGGAGAGCTTTTGATCTTTGTAAATTCCTCCTAATCACCCCTTTAGGTTTGAGCACTGCTTGTGGCCGGGAGAAGCCCTGCACTGGATGGCAGTTGAGTGGCAGGGAGGCAAACCTTTCTACCTGTAAATGTGTTAAGAATATGTGATTTCAGGCCAGACATGGTGGCGCGCACGCCTTTACTCCCAGCGCTCGGGAGACAGAGGCAGGCGGATCTCTGTGAGTTCGAGGCCAGCCTGGTCTACAGTGAGTTCCAGGACAGCTGGGGCTACAAGGAGACCCTGTCTCAAAAAGACCAAAAAGAAAAAAAAAGAGAATATGTGATTTCAGAGAGCGTGCTTACTTGCTTCTTTATTTTGCAAAACAATATATTCTGTCCTTACGAATACCGGCTGCAGTTTCTGAAGGAACCTCCCACTGTCCCCTTGAGGTGACGTGGATTAGTGTCTCTCTTGCTAACCCTTCAAAGTGTTGCCATCCTTTTTTATAGGCATTCCGATACTGGGCGTTTTACGTGAGTTTGGTTTTATCTTTTGTGCTCTAATTTTTAGTTACATTTATTTATTTTGTATTTGTATGAGAGTGCACATGTACCATAGCATGTATGTGGTGATCCGAGAACAGCGTGCAGAAATCCTTGCACCATGTTGGTTCCAGGCATTGAACTTGGGTCATCAGGTCTGGAGGCAGGGGCCTTTTCTTGCCGATCCATCTCTCTGGCCCTTTACAGGATTTAGTCATTTAGTATATTGGTGTCCTTTATTGTTGGAGATAGAACAGATAATTTAGCTTGGGAATATTTTTGAAGCTAGCTTCCAATTCTCATGTGTGAATTAAATAATATATTAAATGTTTGCAGGTTAAAATTTTTTCTGATGTCCTCAGCATAAGAACTCAGTAGTTTGTTTGTTTGTTTGTTTGTTTGTTTATTTATTTATTTATTTTGGTCCTTTTTTTTGGTCTTTTTGAGACAGGGTCTCCCTGTAGCCCCATCTGTCCTGGAACTCATTATGTAGACCGGGCTGGCCTTGAACTCACAGACAGCTGCCTGCCTCTGCCTCCCAAGCGCTGGGACTATAGGTGTGTGCCACCACACCCGGCTATTTTGGTCCTTTTGAGACAGGGTCTCCCTGTAGCCCCAGCTGGCCTGGAACTCACTTTGAACTCACAGAGATCCTCCTGCTTCTGCCTCCCGATTGCTGGGATTAGAGGCATGTGCCACCACGCCCGGCTAAGAGCTTAGTAGTTTTAAGCTGGGCATGGGGGCACACACTTTTTTTTTTTAATATTTTATTATTTTTATTTTATGTATATGCGTGTATTGCCTGCGTGTAAGTAAGTGCACCCATGTCATACAATGCCTGTGGAGGACAGAAGAAGCTGTCTCATCCCCTGGAACTGGAGTTATGGACAGTTGTTAGCTGCCATGTGAGTGCTGGAACTCGAACCTGGGTCTTCTGCAAGAACAGCTGGTGAGTGTTCTTAACTGCTGAGCCGTCTCTCCAGCCCAGGGCATACACTTTTAATCCCAGCACTTGGAAGGCAGAAGCAGGTAGATCTCTGTGAGATTGAGGCCAGCCTGGTCTGTATAGCAAATTCGAGGCCAGCTGGGGCCACAGGGAGACCAAAAAAAAACAACAACAAAAGAACGCAGTAATTTGGTTCCTAGTGAAATAGTAGTTTCATCAACTATAAATTATTTATTTGCGTGGGGGGTGTCCCTGTAGCTCCTGCTGGCCTGGAATTTGCTGTGTAGACCAGACTGGCTTCGATTCCCCAGGGGTCTTCCTGTCTCTGCCTCCTGAGTGCTGGGATTAAAGGCATGCACCAACCACCACATCCAACACTATGAATTATATTTTGAATGAGCTAAGTATTAGCTTCAGTTAATATATTTTAGATATATTTTGCCCTTTCTAGAACTTCTTCTGATCAGTGCTCAGTGTGTAGTTTTAAACTGAAACACAGTGCTTTCTTAAACAGCAATGGACTCATGGCAATCTCCCATGAACAGTTGCATGTCAGGAGAACCACTCCTCTCGAAGGTGGGGTACTGTCTTTGTTCACTGCACTTAACACTTGGTGGAAATATTTGGATTTGCAGTTACTGAACTTTAAAACTTGTGAAATGCAGTTGCTAAATATGTTGTAGTTAATGAAAAAGCTAATCTTTACTGTGTATTATATTGAGTAGATAACTTTTTAAAATTACGTGTATGTGTGTGTGTGTCTTGAGCATGGGTTTGTGTGCAAGGAGGCCAGAAGAGGGTGTTGAATCCCCTGGAACTGGAGTTAGAGGCAGTCGTAAGCTACCCCATGTGGGTGCTGGGAACCAGACTTGGGTCCTCTACTAGAGTATGTGACCACTGCACCCTCATTCCTCAACCCCTGAGTAGATATTTTAAGAACACAGTACAATGCAGATTATTCAGTGGAGAGATCAAAAGTATTGTTTAAATTACTTTCTATTGCTGTATAAATTAGATCCTTTTCACTATCAGACTGTTTGCAGTTGTTGTGTGTCTGTCTGTCTGTATCTCTGTGTGTCTGTGTGCACACATAGTGAATGAAATAGCTTTGCAATTCACTGTGTGTTCAGCAAGGCTTTTTCTCTACCATTTGTTTCTGTTCTTTTTTTTTTTGGTCTTTTTGAGACAGGGTCTCCCTGCAGCCCCAGCTGTCCTGGAACTCACTATGTAGACCATGCTGGCCTTGAACTCACAGAGATCC